CCCAAAGCAAATGTCAAAAACAGGTCAGAAGACTCACTCTCTACAAGTGCTTATTTCTCTCACCTACAAAGGAGCCTAGGGAGCTACAGATGTCTACATTGAACACTGCTAGATTTGGGCACAAATGTCATCCTAGGTGTCAGTCATATGAATGTTAGTTGAGCCTAGTGTGGGTAGTACAAAAAGTGATATTAACTACCAGTAGCTTAAGGTCACAAAAAATCCTTTCCGAGTATCTTCTGCGTGGCCACAATAGGCATCAGTTATGAAACATAACTCACAGGTATTAAACCACATAAACAGAATGAAGAGTTCTAGTGGATTTCTTGGAATCTCATTCCATTCTTGTACCTAGAAAAATCTGCATCACAAGACTAAGCCATAGGGAGATGCTAACATTTAAGGACTTTGTCAGCTTTCCCCATCATATGCATAAGAAGTTGTGCAAATCAGGGACACTTTTCTGGCTTGTTCTCTCTTGCTTGCAATATGAACAATAGGTTTGCATATCCTAATTTGAGCTACATTGTTATTCAGAACTGTTTTAAGACATTTGAGTTCTCTTTAAGTGACTCCTCACAACATTGCCTGTTGTCTCACACTTGGTGTGATCTTACTACAATGCCAGCCAGTTTCACATACTAAGTATTGTGACGAGTGCATAAAAATAGTTTTCTTTCAAGTGACAATTCACATAAAGACAGACAAGAGTTGCTTTTACTATCATTCTAAACAAGCACTGCTAACATTCATGCCCAGGGGAGCAGTTATTTTTATGGAATCCTATTTCATTTAGATTGCTATACTTAGTGTTCTTACAGGGTCTGGATATCTGATCTGTTCCAGCTGATCTGCCTTGGACCTGAGAGTGGGGGGGGGGGGGGGGGGAAAAGAAGAGAAGAAAATATTCATATTTACATTTGCAGAGTAGCCTAGAGCTTAGACCTACTAGACTTCTTAGGTGAAAGATATTGCCAAAACCAGTCCTCTGACAAATATCCATACACCACTGAAAACTGAAGCACAGAGCAGTTGCAAAGCAGCGATAGCACAGGTCTGCAACCTGAAGTGTTGCCCTTTGCTGGGACAAAAAGCAGACAGAGCACATGCCCTCCTCTTCTTCCAAGTCACCCATTCTTCCTTCTCCAGGCATCTAACTTTCTACATTCATTTCAGTATTTGATTAGTTTTTCTTTTCAGAAGAGCAGACAGGAGAGGGGGCAGGGGGAAATGCTTCCATCCTACTCCATACCAGTACTTCTTGAAGTTTATTTCTGCAGAATATCCCATGTGCCTAAAGACCAAAAAACCCTGCCTTCAAGGCAAGAAAAAAAAAAATCTAGATGCAACCTCCGTTTTGATTAAACACATTATGAGAAGAAAATTTAGCGGAATATCTATTCTAGGCAAACAACTTACCTACAAAGTTCAGATTCTCAAACTGTTTAGAGCAGTAAGGGTTTTTAAAAAAAAAAAAAAAAAAGATATCCAACTCTGAAAGACATCAGCTATCCTATCTTAGTTGAATGTGTATGTAGTGTTCCAAGTCCTTCTTACATGAAAAAGGATCAGGAAGAGAGATAGAAGAGTCAAGGCAGAATCAGTTATAATTACAACAGACAGTTTTATTTGAGGACTGTTAACTCTACTTGGTTCATCTCAAATCAGTTTCTTAGACCAGGAGAAAAAAAAAAAAACAAAAACAAAAAACCTCAAAAACCACCACACTACGGCAAGTCAATCAATTTCTTACTGTTTACATTTCTGTAACAGATCACTCTTTAGCACTAAAGTTGGAATCATGAGCAACAGTAACATAAGGCAAGACAGTTTAGTAGAATTTGGATAATTTAACATCTCCAAACAATGATCTCATTAATAAATCAGGAATTCTTCTAGGAAAGTATTTTCTCAACAGGCATTAATTTTCCTCCGTATTTCACAGCATCCTCAGCAGTATTCCCCCATTCCCGTATTCTCCGAGAACACAATAATCATTTTACTGTCAGATCCAGGTATGTCCATACTTCAGTGCATCTTACAATGTCTAGTTTTGGGGGAGCAGAGAAGGAAAGAACTAATTTATGATCAGCTTGCTTCTCCCCCCGAGAAGTTAGTACGCTGACTTAAACAGAACCAACTGGCTGTTACTATACCTAACCCCTTAAAGGGGTGACCTTATGAAGTAGATTTTTTACTAGTGGGCAGCTCATCCTGCTCAAGCAACTGGTCGAGTCATCAAGCCCCTCCACCTTATACTCAGCTTAACCTCACTTTCCAAAATTGCCAGCAGCCCTGAACTTTTGCTCTGGCGAGTGCAGTCATAAATACGCTTTCCTCTGAGGAGGCAGAGTTCAGCTCTTTCAAATATTCCAGTTGCACCGATAACTAATATGTGGCTAGTAAAGTTTGCCACAAGTCACGTTCATTATGTTATTTGCAGCGCCACAGAAATTCAGGCTCCTTGCGCTGTTCAAGCTCTAGTCACTATAACAAGGCACGTGTTTCAGTAATGATGTTATCTATAAACTCCCTGTGAGCAGGGTAGCTTTGATGCTTCTGTCAACACACCTTCACAAGGAACAGAATTATCTTATCTGCTATAAGGGGGCCCTACACTGCAAGAGTGTTAAGGTAAGTGGTACATACATGCTATATATCTAAGCATCCCAAAAAGCATCAAAGCAGTGAAGGTTGTTGACGGTTATCTAAAAGTTAAGAGATTCCTTTTTAAAAGGGCATTTAAGTTTGACAAGTGCAGGACCTGGGAGTATTTAGCAATTCAGCATAACGCAGAACTTCTGGTCAGACAGACAGACAGACCTCTTCAGGGGAGCAAACAGACGACTAGCATCAACCTAATACTTCAGATCAGCGCCACTCAAGTGATTACCTTGCTCTAAGCCAGGAAATAGCCAGTACACACCTGTAACCAAACGCTTACACCAGCCAATGAAGGAGATATGGCATCTCAACTTCAGTCTACAAAGTGATCTTAATTCCATAGTTCCCTCCAAATTTATTATTCAAGTATTTTAAAAGGAAATTCTATTTGATTGCCAGAAATTCTACTAGTTTAATGTTGTACTACAAGATTTTTCCACATGAAGAAATAAGGATTGCTGAACTGTCACATTAAGTATTTAATACAGTTTTCTAACTTGTTAATTTTTAACTAGACAGTTTTGCTTTGAAATAGGAGCTGTATACGCTTTAGATTGAAATAATGCTGCATTTCTCATGTTTGAGAAAGGATACCAAAAACCATACTAATACTAAGCTGGAGAACTTTTTCAGCACAGAAGAACTCTGGCCAACAAGGGCATGGCTATTCTGCAGCTTTCAGCGACCCATGGTTATGTCAAAGAGAACTTGCACTTCTGGTTCCACTGTGCTCTACTGATTCAACTGCATCTTCTCTACATGATTTTGCTGTATGAACTAGACAAGTCTGCCTACTCTAACAAGTCTGTGTCAGCACGGATTTGGCAGAAAGATGAAATAAAACTGTTTAGATAAATGCCTCAATCCGCAAAACCCTTGAGCTTGACAGATCTGGAGACCAGAACGGTAGCTTTAAGTTCTCAATTGCTTCTCTCTTTCTCACAGAGAAAGAGAAGAAAAAGAAAAAAAAAAACACTATACCCCACCATTTAGTTTTAGGGCTGTAGGAAGAACACAATTTATACCCCTCCACCTTTTTTGCTTGGGGGGGGGAGGGGGGGTGAGGGAGGGAGGGACAGACAGACACTCTACTGGTCTAGTGCTATGCTGACCTAGCTAATGTAGACTTCAGTTCAGAGGCACCTCATTCTTAAAAATTTTCTGTACCTTACCTATGAGAAAAAATGGATGGGCCATGACTTCAACTTCATATTATTATCCATCCATAACAAGGCGTCTTTCTCCTTCAAAGAGAAAGGACCCATAGGAGCAGATGTTTATTGGGTTTTAACAGACTTCCAGGAACTGCTGGATCTTACAATTAAGTTTGAGAAAAAGCAGCCATTGAGTTCCACCAATATCCATGCACATGAGCCTCCCTTCAGCCCTCAGCCTGTACTCTTAAGCACTAGTGCTTGAACTAGCTTTGATAGTCAAAGATCCCCATTTAGCAGTTCTTTTCCCTCCCTTCCCCCCACCCCAAGAAACCCAAAACAACAACAGAGACCTACCCCATGTTCAACTACCTCAATTTGAACTGCTCCTGTCCTTAAAAGGTGAGCAGGCACATTTAGATACCAGACAAGTTACTATACATTTCCTAGTGATATAGGTCAATATTTCACTACCAAAGGCACTGAAGCTACTTCCTACAAAAAAAAGGAAAAAAAAAAAAAAAAAAGGTGCTATACGTTCTTCAGCTACCTACTGAAGTTGCAATACAAGTCAGCTTGCTCCAGAAGAGTGATAAGTCTGTCTTTGTACACTTATTGGAACAACTTGGGACTGCACTGTCAAATTTCCTTAACTTATTTAAATAAAGCCCCGGGTTTTTAAGTCTGATGACCAAGAATGTCCTCCCGTTTGACCTCTACTTTAGAGGAGTTTCCAGAATTAAAAACCATTTCTTCATTAAAGTGCCACATGCCATAGACACCCATCTTCCCCATAATGCCTTTATTAAGAACCAAAGCATTTGGGAGTCAGAACAGGTAAGAGTTCTAAAGACTACTGTTTTACCTTCCTTTCTTCTCTTGTCATTCCCCTCCCCCTCAATGTTAGAAACATCCATCTATCTCCTCATCCATTAGGAAGAGTTGTTATACTCAACTGCTCCCCCATATTTTGGGTTTTAGGTCCTGCTTACAACCCGCCTTCACTTCTGGGTGTCTTGCTCCAAGTCTAACAGCTCCGATTTCAGATCTCCTGTGCTTGAGTAATGCTACTTTGGTAAGTGATCCAGAGCAATCTAAACCAATTTAGATCACGCAATTCATCTCTACCACCCGTTTACTGTCCTCCAAAACCCAACTACTAGATACAACCCAATGACTCACCACACTTGATATAATGCAAAAGCTGCATGTAGCAGAAGGACTGAAATATCAGCCCCATCAGGAGAAAGAATACCATAATGTTGATTTTTGTTTTGAGGTAGAACAAGTATTGTGGGTGTAAACAAAGAGACACTTTGGAGCAGCTGAGACTTGGAAGAAGACAGTCAGCAGTAGGGAAGGAAGATCAGACATCATGAAGCTCAGTCTCTGCATTGCGACTTCAAGTAGCCTGCCATCAGAAAAAGCAGTGTCAGAGTCTAGTTTCAGCTCAGTTCAGATGTTACCTAGGTTATTAAATACGGAAGAAACTGTTTTCCTTCTCAGGTCAGTAATTATTCCAGAAAGGACTTCTGAAGAGTTCAAGACATTTCTTCGACACCCACTACACTGAAGCGTGCATATTCACAATCACTTTTAATACAATTTCAGGTTTTTTATCCATATAGAAGGATACCAACAGGATTAATACTACTTAGCACAGAAAAATCCCACAAAATGGTTGCACATAACATGCAAAAGGTTGTACTTGAGTCAGCACAGTTGATTCAACAGAATCAGCAATAGAGGTCACTGGAAAAGCTTACCAGTTTTTACCACTGCACATGAAACCTTCAGAAGGGAAGGAGCAGGAAGATTCGGGGGTTAACTTCTATGAACTTAAGATAACCTACCATCTAGGTATCCAACCATCCTGTGCTCATAGGTCTTAAGACCTCAGAAGAAAAGGGGGGGGGGAAGAAACACCACAAAAGAAAACAAGCAAAAAAACCCAACGCCACTACGAACCAGAAGCTGACAGCTAACACTCACTTTTTGTTATGGAAAAATTCCCAGTAACTAGAAACAGACAGCTGAGAAATTATATTAAGTTACCAAACACTCCTTTTTACCAGATTAGAAAGCAACTGTTCTACACTATTTCTTCCATAAACAGGTCATTTATAAGGAAGTGAAGCTTTGCATGAGATCCAGTCCAGAGCTCCTGTAGCAAGCCCATACCTATTGGTGCTAGCATATCTGAACATGCTGACACCCCACTGAACGCAGACAACAACTGCTTTAGTTACTAAGGTATTAAGAGCTGTGTGTTCATGTGCAAGAGTGCAGCCACAGTATAAGCCTGCTCTTCTTTTTTTTTTTTTATTAAACAAAGACTGTCACATTAAAGGGATATGAGAATTTCCATGCTAAAGTTGGCTATGTTTAAGTTGTAAACATATTTTCACCAGCTACAGCTAGAAGATGCGTTTGTTGCATCTCAAGCACTCTCATCTACTCGCTATCCCTGGTTACGTAATTTTGTCCCCTCACTGCTAACAAAGTATTATCCTCCCCCCATTTCACTCCCAACCACGTTACTGAAGCCTCAGGCCAAAACCCTCCTGCACGAACTCCAGTGCTGCCCCGGTGACCCCGTCCCTTTGCTCGGCTACTCAAACTTCAGCCAGAGCTGCCTTGGCCTGAGTTTAGGTACACCTAGCACACATTTCCTTATCTGGCTATGAAGCAATTTTCATGCCGGGGACAAAAAAGGCAATCAGATTTGCCTAGGGGGCCAGCCCC